AATGACAGCCTTGACACCCTTCCGTTCATTCTTGGGCAACGCAGCGATATAGCGCACACATGGTACACCAAACGCCAGCGTCTTGCCGGAACCTGTCTCCGCAACACCGACCATGTCTCTGCCTGAGAGCAAGTATGGCCAGACGGCTGCTTGTATAGGTGTAGGGGCGCTGAACTTGGCGAAGAAGGCGCGCTGCGCATCGTCGACCGGGAGGTACTTGAAGTTCAGGATGGGACGGAGCTTGCGAGCGGCAGGTTTGGGGTCTTGGATGGCCATCGTGTTCTTGGCGAGGAAGGCATCGACCTCCGACTGGGGGAGCTGGGTCAGCTCTTTGCTCTCTACATAGTCGCCCGATTCGACGGTGGCTGCGCTCGTTGTGGTTTCGACCGGTGCAGACTTGGAGGAGGGTACGGGTTCGGCAGCTTCGCCCTTGGTCAATGCCTTCGCGCGCTTCTTCTCTGCTTTCCGCGCAGCCTTCTCTGCCGCCTTGATGGCTTCCTCGTTCTCTTCCGCAGGCTCGTCTGAATCGGCACCCGCGGCAGCCTTCAGCGCTTTTTTCGCTTCCTTAGCCGCCTTCTTTGCTTTCTTCGCCGCCTTGCGCTCGGCCTTTGACAGTTTCGATTCGTCTTCCGAATCCTCTACAGCCTGCGCATCGCCATTCGTCTCGGTCGCATCCACTTCAGCGGTCTTGCTGAGCTTCTTGCTCTTGTCCTTTTTGCTCTTCTTCCTTGAAAGTTCGGGCGTAGTGGTCGCGCCGTCTTCAGCGACGACGTCAGAGATCGGTCTTTTCCCCATCTTGTTGGTTGGCAATGCTTCGTGTGGAGAAGTTGAGAAGGATGGCGGAAAAATCACTTTTTCGTCGGCGGTCGGTACCAGCACTATCGATAAGTCCGGAACTAGTCCCAAAGCGCTCAACGCGACCTTGCGCCAGCAAATCTCGCGTGTTCGATGCTTCTCACGTCCCTGCGCGTCAACGAAGTGCTATGTGAAGGTTTTAGTCACTGTATGCAAAAGTCGTTAATTCGAGACCTTTTGCGGTTCCTACCTATGTAAAGGCTTTTCGCGTTTTCGCGCTAGTCGGAACCTTTTCATGTTCTCCCTCACCACAGTGAGCCATGACCAGAACCATTAAACAACTGGGACCACTTATTCTGAGACTTGATGCGCGATCATGGCGGACGTGACAGTGCTGAGATGCTGGCCAGCCTGCGTCGATGCAATTGATTGGTCTTCCGACGGCATCATTGCATTAGCGTCGGATGAGCGCGTAGAGCTGCTTGTGAGTACCTTTCTGTGCAGATACTTACACGAGACCTTTTTGTTAATGATTGCGTAGTTTCCGAACACCGTCGACTTCGAACGGGACCAAGTCTTGCCGCAATGGCAGCATGTGCCTCTCAAGGTACCCTTGTTCTCGACCGATGAGCTCCCACTCAAAGAACCTGCGCCAACATCTAACTACTCCGTCGGCGAAGAGATCTCTAACAGCGCTCCCATCAGCATCGCGTGGTCGCCGCCCGGTATTGCTAAACATCGAAAATGCGCGCTTGCTGCTCTTACCGCAAACCTGACGCTTTCCCTCTGGTCAGCAGCAGGAGGCAAGCCAGAAGAAGAGACAATTTGGACCCGGCGATTGATCATCAACGATGCGCTCGTTGACCACTTCGGGGACTGGGACGACGAACCTAGCCATGTGGTGCACGATTCCAAGGAGCGACTGCGGTCGAGAGGTCGCATTCGAGCATTCGCCTGGGCACCCGCTCTGCCTTGCCCAGGTCCGCCCGGTGTTATCGGTACTCACTTGGTATACGGCCCGCACATGCTAGTCGTCTCTGATGATGACAACCACCTCGTCTTTCTGAAGATCGAATCACCGACGTCCTCACTGGGAGCTGAGCCGGACTGGAGGGCTGAGGTACTAACACATCAGTCTTTCGCACTGTCCCCGGAGACGGTCTTCCCACATCCTGACGTTTTCGAAGACATGATCAAGCAACAAAGGTATATTTCGCATATCGCCTGGAGTTCTTGGATCATCTGCAACGGAACTTATCGGTCCGTACTGGTATACGCTACGAATGAAGACGTACGGGCGCGGATCATCACGTATAACCACGGGCAAATGAACCTGGAGCACGAAGTTGTCTACGCAAGCTACGAAATGAGGTATGACGGCCCGATGAAATGGTTCCACCGAGTTGAAGATGGAGACAGACTGAAGCTTGCCCTCTTCACAAATACGGGACTAGTATATCTAACGATATCCGCTCTTGACGCTTCCATCATCGAAAGGTGTACGCATGATCTGGACGGGCGATGGGATCCGGTCTCAGGCCTTGTTTGGGATACGACTGGCGCCACAACTCCTCGTCTCCATATAAGCTCTCTGTTATCGACCCTCCACAGTCCGACTGCTATCCTCGAGCAGACTCCTGAGGGACTCAAAGGTCTTGATGCCCCAGAATGGCGGGAGAGAATCGGGAATAACCTGGCACTGTTTAGTGTGAAGAATGGACTCAAAGGCAATAGCAGGGCCAAGGTATGGGGTCTCGCGAGATCTCCGCTGGGCGACTTCATTGCGGCATGCAACAGCGTACATCCTTCCGATATGATCGAATACGGTATTCCGGCTGACCGTAGTGGCGCCGTGGCTATCAGCTCTTTGCGACCTGGCAGCCGCTCACGGGACATCTTTCCAAAAGAGAACGTAACCGCAGAAGGAATAATGTACAGTCTCAAGAAGTTGGCAGAAGAAGTTGTCGAGGACCCTGACGACATACCTGCATTCGCGGATGAGATGGTTGGAAAGCTAGTCGAGACGTACACGCCTCTTCCTATCAGTGAGATGAGCGCGACCACATCAGTAGCGTACTCCAATGTCAACGATCTCGATTCGTTGATCAAGGCATTCAAGTCGAATGCTTTCCTTGAATCACCTACACTGAAAGATCGCTACACCATCCTCGTGTCTGAAGCCTACAAGACGCAGATCAATAAGGAGCTACCGGCGACTCTGATTGCGTATCGTCTCGCTGTGGCCTTGCAACAACTTCCTTCGTCGCTATCGTATACGCCTTTCAGCGCAGAAATTCGCACGCATCACAAACAACTCGTCACACTCATCAACATGGTCATGGGCTATGACGATACATCCAAATCGTTGCCCGCAGACAGAAGTTCGGAGCAGGAAAGCACATCAACAGTCGGCACCGGTACGCATGGCAACAGCATTTCGACGAATCAAGGCCCAGCAGTCCCAGTAGCGGATACTTGCGATTTCTGCTCCGCATTTATACCGTTCGCAGACCCCCGGTCAGCAACTTGCACCAACGGACATGTGTTCCCTAGATGTGGCCTCACTTTTCTGGCTATCCAGGCGCCCGGCATCACGAAGTACTGTGGTATATGTAGCACACCATTTCTAAGCGACGAGTTCATCATGGCCCAAGAAGACGTGGAACGCCATAACAGCTCCGACGCTGAGGATAACACGGTCATGACTGGCGTGACCAGAAACGGCATGGTATCAGAGGAAAGAGAGGAGAGCAGCGATCCGTTGAACAAGATGAATGAAGAGGGTTCTACCGACCAAGAAGGAGGTGATCAAGAGAGCAACGATTCCGACGATGAAGGCGATGTGTACGAACGAAAGGAAATCCCTGTCACGCTGGCACGGGTACTGTTTCTTGCTTGCGATGCCTGCATATACTGCGGTGGCAAGTTTATTGGTTGACCAACACAGGATAAAGTTCATAATCCGACTCAAAGGTGTCCTGTACCTACGTTCGTAGTCTAGAAGAATCGCCTGCCAGGCTCTCTTTCTTTTACACAAGTGCCCTTTATTCGCTTCCATCATTGGGCCAAATATGACATTACAGTCCAACTAAGCATCTCATGGTTCTGTAACCTGGAAACGTTGAAGACGCTGATGTCTCTTATCGCGGGACGGAAACAGACATAAGGCCCGAATCCGACCTGTACCCACGGTCCGGATGCCTTGGCACCCATCCGCACAAACTACGCAACTCCACTTTTCTCCCGAGGCAAGCCCTGGCACTTTCTAGAAGCCAGGCTAGACCAACCGCACAAGTCTCTCATGCCCCCGCGCGACCAGCCGACCAACCGCACAATGTACGCAAGATAAGTGGGAGCCAATAGCACAAAACGCGTGCACGCGGCTAAACTTACCAACGGAGCTAATCGACCACTGAGACCAAAGCTTACAGTCAACAATGCCACAAACGCAGTGGGATGCGGGGCACAGCTCGTGAAGCACATGAACGGGAGCCGCCGCTGACGGCGTTGCCGCAGGGAAGAGGTGGCATCAAGAGCCCTGCGTTTGGCCGCTTTACCGCACAAGTCGCGCATGCTGAGGGTATATAAGAAGTTGGTTGCTGGTCCTACTATGCTGCTTACTCCTACATCACAACAATCAAGTCAACCTCATCAAGCCAACTCACTCTTCAACCATACCAACCCTTTTCCCACAAACCAACAACCCATCTTCAACCATCAACAATGAAGGGTAACTGCGGCTGTGCTTCTGGTAGCTGCAACTGCGGCACCACCTGCACTTGCGATGGCTGCCCCGTACGTCATACCATGTCCTTGTCGTGAACACAATGCTGACCTTTCTTCAGGGCAAATAAGTCATTCAATCTTCAGATTGATGGCGTGCGATGGACACGATACAGTGGGTGCCATCGCATCATTTTCACTTACGACCGTCATGCTGATACTCTGCAGATAATCTTACAACTTGTGTACTATATGGAGCCAACGAAGATATGCGTCACGGGTGGATTTTGAGAGACGTGCGATGATTAGGGGATGAGGGGAGTTCGGCGGCTCAAGAGATACCACATGTGACAATCTATCACTTCACTACAATGCACGTGTACCATATGATACTACTCTTGATGAACATCTTGTCATTGTCGCTCATGTCGCGAGTATTTCCGTGTCATGTAATTAATCCAGTCAAACATTGACGTTCCTTCCTATCCACAGCAAACCGTGGCATTTTCCTGCATACGATCATCGCCCCCGCTGCTCACATTGAAGCTCTCCCACCCAAAGATGAAGTATCCCAGATACGCACCGATGAAGATGCAGATGATAAAGTACCCGTTGTAATACATCGCCAGCAGCATAACGAAATAAGCCACAGCAAATGCGCCCATGTGCAATGCCGCCCGTACCGCCTGTTGTAGAATGCTCGGTCGGAACTTGGTCGTCGTCACAGCTATGGCGCCGCAAGCAGCTGGCGATGTTGTAGCAGCAGGATGCTTAGTCGTGCTGTCGTTGGCGTTCGATGAGGAGGAGGAAAACGAGCCGACCCCCGAGGATGCGAGTGTCTTGGAGTGCTGCTGGACGATATAGCGATCGTATTCTTTAGCTGCGCGCCGCAGAAACTCGAGGAGGATAACGAGGAGGATGACTCCGATGCAGGAGCCGGCGAACATGGCTTTCGTGCGTACGTGCCAGGACTCTGCGATGAAACATGTGTCGATTACATTCCAGTTCCACAGCATCTGTGAGATGGGTTGTCAGCTAAAGGCTCTCGTCTCCTCACTTCGAGAGCACACGAGATAGAACTTACGCTAATCTTGCATCCACCCATCATATCGGCCATGTCATCCATGCCACCCATTCCGCCTGACGAAGTAGCCATTGGCGCCATACCGGTAGCAGTCGATGCCATAGACATGCCCGACATAGCCATACCGGTGCTCGTCGGAGCCATCGACATTTCCATATCCATAGACATGATTGCTTGTACCTGCATAGAAACGTAGTGAGAAACAAGTCCAAAGTTATATCGCAGCGACTGCAATCAAAGCACGGCCTACCAGAAATTTGTTGGAAACGAAACAGCGCAAGTGAATGAATATGAGTGGTGTGAGAAGTAGGGTTGAGCAAGTTATGAGCAGATTTTCCCCTGCGTGACCTTGAATGGAAAGCGGCAGCCACCCAAATGATTCACACTTCAAACGCGGAGACTTTGACGAACAAAGAAGTTTGAAACTGGAGTGAAGTCTGCCACTAAAGATATTTTCGGGAGAGTGAACGTGGAATCACGACGTTTATATCGTTCTTCTTGTGGTGCAAGCTCCCACCCAGGGAATACCAGGCCCGGCACCCTTTTCGCACCCGTTCCCACGCGGTACCCGAAGTTCTGCAGACGGCGCCACGGCATGCGAGTATTGGTCAAAGACAGCCGATTGTTATCTCAGCCTACCATGCCACCAGGCAGATCGGTAACATTGGATAGACCTGCTGGCCCATGTTGTGATAATCGACGAGACTCCAGGAGAGGGCGGCCCGCAGAGCGCTATGCCGGGATAGGTATAGACAGGTAAGCGAGGTGAGAAGGTTTCCAAGGTTTTGAGCAGATTTCGCGCCTTCATCCGCATCCTGCGCAATCATGACAAGACGATACTGCGCGGCAGGTGTTGAGGCGCGGAATAGTGTTGGATGGCATGCAGGTCGTGGTTGTTTGTTGGTGATGCGAGGGGAACGGGCCGCTTATGTTGCATGTGTTGGGAGTGCAGCTTACAGGCAGAGCGCTCTTTAGCCAACGTGCGATAGATGAATTGTTATTGCAAGCGCAGTGGGAAGCCGTGCAGTTGTGTCCCGGGGTTTTGGTTACGGGACTCGAAAGGCGAATGAGATCAGGGTCTAGGTAGGCTGGATGAACATGCGATGCTGCATGTTGGATGCAACGACAGATCGATCGTTGAACAGAGCGTGGGTATACGTGTCGTTGTAACAATGTTTTGAGCTTCCCAACATTGCGAGATGCTTGTCTTTGGGACATCGGTTGGAGGGCGACCATGAATTTGGGCCAATGGGCTTATGTGCATCGCGCGGCGTTGAAGTGTTGGCTGGGTAAACATGCGCTGACGGTGTTGGTACAACAGTATATCAGCCGATGACGTTTACAGGTATACTCTTGCTGCTATTTGTTGATACCACCCAGGTGGTCTCAGACGTATCGCATGTTTGTTGCGTTTTCCGCACGACATATATGCTCAACCCGATGCAATGTCATATCAAAGCCAGCAGTGACTCCCGATGTGGTCCAGATCCGTAGTAACCTTGAGTAGCCGTCAGCCCACACTCATGGCATCCATATCGTGTCCGTATTCGCTGCCACGGTCGTCGTCCAAGCGGATTCGCTCGCCCTCACTGTGCCTCATAGACCACATGAATTTGCTGAGGATATGCATGAATAGGAAGTAAGAGCCGGACCTGTCGATTTATGAACACATGCGCCCTAAAGTTACGACCAAATCGAGCGAGACGGGGAGACAAATGGCAACAGCTTTCGCAACCTGTTGTTCTGAGCCTACTGACCTGTATACGTGCCCTGGCGCCCGAGAAGATTCAAATCGTTGGTGGAGGCTGTGACTGTTTCATCCCACCCTTTGCCATCGCCGGCAATATCAAGCGCCTTCATGTGTAGAATAGGGTAGCCGCCACATCTTCGCACACCACGGAACGCGTGAGCTGGATGCAGACGTAATGAAGATGGCTTCACATAAAACTTCTAGCAAGCCTTAGCCGTTGCATACATGATCACACGTATAAGTAATAACGTGTGTATCGCTGGATTTTATGTCGGGTTATTGCCACCAGTCGTGGTGTCGGGTTGATTTGTTCGGGTCATTGTGTCGGACGTTTTCCGATACCAACAATGACGCGCACCTAGTTCATTCCGCGACTGGCAAGCCCTGAGGCTAGAGCAGCGGGGCGCATGACTATGCGGATGTGGCGTAGGATGCGGCTCAGTACCCCTCTGGTGGGAACCTGACCGCAGCGGAGACGAAAATACTGCTCTTAAGCCAGGGCGCCTTCCTACAGGCAGTGCAGAAACCAGGGCTATGCTGCGACCTGTCAAACGCAACACAATGGCGCCTGGGATTAGGTCTCATATCTTGCAGTTCAGCGCTGCTCGTCATCGGCACATAGAACGCTCCGAAGATTAGGCAATCTAGGTTTGACGTCGCCGTACATATCCGTCTTGTCTGTATTCTTGGGTTCCAAGAACGCTCCTCGTCGAGCGTTTATCCGCATCGTATTGTATACTTCTCTCCTTCTTTCGCCATGCGTTCCCCAATCGACTTCGTGAAGGATCGCCATAATGGCCGGTACCGTGAGAGCATCGACAGCGATGACTACCCTTTAGCGCAACCCCGGAATGAAACCGAGCAACCATCAACGAATGGACCTACTGCTCTTCCATCGCTGCCAGAACCATACTCGGCTTTCTCGGTGAATCGCAGAAGATTCATATTGGGTGTCGTTACAGCGGCGGGCTTCTTTGGACCACTATGCGGAGCGGTTTACTTGCCTTCCCTGAAAATATTCGAGAAGATCTTCAGTGCATCAGAGACTGCGGTAAACGGTACAGTCTCAATGTATATGATGGTATTCGCCATTGCCGTAAGTCATCCGTACCGGTAGCTCGAATTGCAAAACTAAGATTGCGTAGCCTCTCTTCGGTGCTGCTGCCTCAGATCTAGGCGGAAGGAAAACAGTGTACATGGTCGGACTCGGCAGTTTTCTCGTCGCGAACACCCTACTTGCTGTGCTGCCACCACATATCGCGGAGCTGTACATTCTCCGTGTCTTCCAGGCATTCGGATCATGTATCGTCTTCTCCGTCGGAGCCGGTACTGTTGCTGATATCACCGAGCCTGCTAAACGTGGAACCGCTTTAGCATGGTTCTTGATGGGACCTCAGCTTGGCCCTGTACTTGGTCCGCTTATTGGTGGTGCACTCGCGGACGAGAGTAGATGGCGATGGATATTCGGCTTCCTCTCGATCGCAAGTTTTCCGGTATATATCCTCATCGTCTTCTGTACGCCAGAGACACTGCGATCGCTGGTAGGCAACGGCGCACCTGTCGCAAATCAGCCTTGGTTTTCGATACCCAACTTCCGGACACAGCCTTGTACGGACTCGAGAGCTCCGAAAGCTCCCCGTCCAACGCCTCGAAAGTTCCTGCATCTTCTTAAATACCCTCCACATTTGATCGTTTCCTTCAACGGAGCATTCCAGTTTGCTGGACTGTATGCCATTTTCATCTCTTTTGCCACCATTTGGCAGGAGGGCTACGGTTGGACGGCAGCAGAGACTGGGTATGCCTATATATGTCCCGGTATTGCGATGTTCGTCGCTTCGATGGTAGTCGGTCGACTTTCCGATTGGATGCGAAAGAGGGCTCTTGCGAAGAGCTCCACTGGCAAGGTTGCACCTGAGCGAAGAATTACCATCCAGATTTTCGGCTTCGTCATCGCCGCGGCTGGAAAGATCATGTTCGGCTGGTTTGCACTCGCTCACTTTCACCCCGCAGCGGTCCTCTTCTGTACGGCTCTGGCTGCAATCGGCATGTCTATCATCTTCGTCACCAGCACATCCTTCCAGACTGAGTGCGACCCTGGCCAGGCGGCTAGTCTAGTGGCTTTGGCAGGATTCATGCGCAACATGGCTGCCGCGATCTCCTCACTGATCATGGCCAGCATTTTGGATGCAATGGGTTGGGGTTGGGCGTTCACCGGTCTGGGGATTATAGACCTCCTCTGCATACCAGGAATCATCCTGATCATTTTCCGTGGTCCAAAGTTTCGACAGGAGTTGGAACGTGGGCAGCAGCAGCCCAAGAAATAAGTGGCTGGGTGGCAGATCTCGCGTGAACCGGATACAGGCTCATGCTGCCTGAATTGACAGCTATGAGCGACTACTTCTCGTCAAGCATAGCGCGGCGTTAGTGAACATTTTACGCTGTATATTAGCATGGAAATGTGGGTTGCGCAATTGAATCCATATCGAGGCAAGAGGCAGTGACAACGCGTGCGTTGTAAGAAGGCGAATGTAGATGCGATGGAGGAGATCGATGTTCTAGAATAACCTCGGAAGCGGCTGGAAGGGCGAGTTTGGCCGATCATCGCGACTGCGACATCCACCACCAATTTGTCAGCAGCACTCGCCATCCATGTAGGTATAAGAGCAAGCAGTCTCGCAGCGATGACATCACTTCAACAGCAAAACGATCTCGCAAGACTTCATCGTGGCGTTCAGAGCAAGTCTACGCAAAATGACCAACTTCAAGGTTGACATTGTCAGCGACACCGTATGCCGTAAGTGTTCATGAATAACGCATCTCATTCTATGTATCCGGCGCTGACCAAGTCACAGCATGGTGCTATGTGGGAAAGAAGCGCTTGGAAAAGGGTATCGCTGCCTATCAGCAGAAACACCCGGACTCCAGTGATACCTTTCAAACCAGCTGGTACCCATTCTATTTGAACCCGGATGCGCCAAAGAGTGCCGACAAGCAACAATTGTACGAATCCAAATTCGGCAAAGAACGCACAGCAATGATGCAAGAGCGACTCTCACAGATCGGCAAAGACGAGGGAATCAACTTTAAGTACGGCGGCAAGACTGGAAACACACGCGATTCGCACCGACTTGTGCAACTTGGAAAAACCAAGGGCCCACAGATGCAGACTCGCGTGATCGAGGAGCTCTTCGCTGCTTACTTTGAAAACGAGAAGGACATTACCACTCAAGAGATCCTTACCGAGGCAGGAATCAAGGCTGGACTTGATGAGAAAGAGATCAAGGATTGGCTGGAGTCAGGCAAAGGAGGACCTGAAGTTGAC